TCCACACCGTAGTCTATCTGGTACTTGTACCGTGTATTCTCCAATACTATAGTCTATACGATACTTGTACCGTGTATTCTCCACACTGTAGTCTATCTGGTACTTGTACCGTGTATTCTCCACACTATAGTCTATCTGATACTTGTACCGTGCATTCTCCAACACTATAGTCTATACGATACTTGTACCGTGTATTCTCCACACTGTAGTCTATCTGGTACTTGTACCGTGTATTCTCCAATACTATAGTCTATCTGATACTTGTACCGTGTATTCTCCACACTGTAGTCTATCTGGTACTTGTACCGTGTATTCTCCAATACTATAGTCTATACGATACTTGTACCGTGTATTCTCCACACTATAGTCTATCTGGTACTTGTACCGTGTATTCTCCACACTATAGTCTATCTGATACTTGTACCGTGTATTCTCCAATACTATAGTCTATCTGATACTTGTACCGTGTATTCTCCACACCGTAGTCTATCTGATACTTGTACCGTGTATTCTCCAATACTATAGTCTATACGATACTTGTACCGTGTATTCTCCACACTGTAGTCTATCTGGTACTTGTACCGTGTATTCTCCAATACTATAGTCTATCTGATACTTGTACCGTGTATTCTCCACACCGTAGTCTATCTGGTACTTGTACCGTGTATTCTCCAATACTATACTCTATACGATACTTGTACCGTGTATTCTCCACACTATAGTCTATCTGGTACTTGTACCGTGTATTCTCCACACTATAGTCTATCTGATACTTGTACCGTGTATTCTCCAATACTATAGTCTATACGATACTTGTACCGTGTATTCTCCACACTGTAGTCTATCTGGTACTTGTACCGTGTATTCTCCAATACTATAGTCTATCTGATACTTGTACCGTGTATTCTCCACACCGTAGTCTATCTGGTACTTGTACCGTGTATTCTCCACACTATAGTCTATCTGATACTTGTACCGTGTATTCTCCACACTATAGTCTATCTGGTACTTGTACCGTGTATTCTCCACACTATAGTCTATCTGATACTTGTACCGTGTATTCTCCACACTATAGTCTATCTGATACTTGTACCGTGTATTCTCCACACTATAGTCTATCTGGTACTTGTACCGTGTATTCTCCACACTATAGTCTATCTGGTACTTGTACCGTGTATTCTCCACACTATAGTCTATCTGATACTTGTACCGTGTATTCTCCAATACTATAGTCTATACGATACTTGTACCGTGTATTCTCCACACTATAGTCTATCTGATACTTGTACCGTGTATTCTCCACACTGTAGTCTATCTGATACTTGTACCGTGTATTCTCCACACTATAGTCTATCTGGTACTTGTACCGTGTATTCTCCAACACTATAGTCTATCTGATACTTGTACCGTGTATTCTCCAACACCATAGTCTATCTGATACTTGTACCGTGTATTCTCCACACTATAGTCTGTCTGATACTTGTACCGTGTATTCTGCAACACTATAGTCTATCTGATACTTGTACCATGTACTCTCCAACACTATAGTCTATCTGATACTTGTACCCTGTATTCTCCAACACTATAGTCTATCTGATACTTGTACCCTGTATTCTCCTCACTATAGTCTATCTGATACTTGTACCGTGTATTCTCCACACTATAGTCTATCTGATACTTGTACCGTGTATTCTCCAAAACTATAGTCTATCTGATACTTGTACCGTGTATTCTCCAACACTATAGTCTATCTGGTACTTGTACCGTGTAATCTCCACACTATAGTCTATATGGTACTTGTACCGTGTATTCTCCACACTATAGTCTAGCTGGTACTTGTACCGTGTATTCTCCAATACTATATTCTATCTGGTACTTGTACCGTGTATTCTCCAACACTGTAGTCTATCTGATACTTGTACCGTGTATTCTCCAACACTATAGTCTATCTGATACCTGTACCGTGTATTCTCCTCACTATAGTCTATCTGATACTTGTACCCTGTATTCTCCACACTATAGTCTATCTGATACTTGTACCGTGTATTCTCCACACTATAGTCTATCTGATACTTGTACCGTGTATTCTCCAACACTATACTCTATCTGATATTGTACCGTGTATTCTCCAACACTATAGTCTATCTGATACTTGTACCGTGTATTCTCCACACTATAGTCTATCTGATACTTGTACCGTGTATTCTCCAACACAATAGTCTATCTGATACTTGTACCGTGTATTCTCCAACACTATAGTCCATCTGATACTTTTACCATGTATTCTCCACACTATAGTCTAGCTGGTACTTGTAGCGAGTATGATAGTAATGCATGCTCACTGATGCTAACGCAGAGGGGGCACCTTAAATCTATTTGACAATGAATTCATTCTCACCACAGGCAATGGTCGATAAGGACTCTCCTCAAAGTGACCTCTTCACACAAACATAAGCGTAGGTTATTGGATGGAGCCAGCACTGGCCATGATACGGTAATGCCTGGCAGTCACATGGAGGTCAATGAAGACGCCATCCCAAGGTTCCGTCTTGCACATATATCATGGTCCAGTAGGCAATTCCCCAAATGAGAAGAGAAAGAAGCGGTGGTCGAGCGAAGGATATAATAGTCCCATATGTGCCAGAAATCTATTCAGTGCATTGTGACCGGTAATATTGATTCTTTCAGCCATGCTGCCTTGTACACAGGGAAAGAAAGATCCGAAATGAATACACATGTCACTGATGGAACAAAATATTGGTTAATAAAGGGAGAATATGCCTTTCACTTACTTTATGGGGCTCATCTGATTCTGGGAAGCATGGAAATTCGTTATCCTTATAATTAATATTGCACTTACAATAATACTGAAGTACTGGATAATACTGTACTTCGGTGTTATTCTGCCAATACTGAAGTGATCCTATGCAAAACGCATATTTGCAGTTCAATCTATACAGCTTAGAAATATCAGTCACCATGTCGAGATATTTAAATCTTGACCATAAATCAAGCTGATGTCATTTGCTAACTACATGTATTACTTTCTTTTCGCAGGCAATTATGATCTCGCTTTAGCATGTTGCAAATATAAAATTCATTAATCTTATGCATTACACATTACACTGGCATACACAACAAACTCGTCGTGAAAATTACAGTTTAATTAGTTATGACACCAGGTGTTCATCATAGATGGCGACTTGATGGTATATATGTATGACGGTAACCTGCCCTATTTTGCAGGTAATACTAACATAGCAGTACGACAGTAATTAAAGATAGATATATATTTCACATTTTAACGTGGGACCTTCTTTGGACTACATGTATTTAGAAAACGGACACTATGACATTTCTAGACGATTCCACGTTTTCTTTTTAATAGAAAGTAGTTATTTTTTTATCCATTTATGTTTAAAACTTGAACGTGCGGTAGTTTAAACTTCATGTTTTTGCAATCTCTGGGGCGAAATGTTTTTCCAGTACATCCAGTATCAAATGGCTTGTCTCTTACCTTCGACAGCTTATGTATCTTCAATCTGCATTCTCAGCAGGGAATCCATGCTGTCTTTTCTGGCGCTGAAAGGTTTGCGTTCACTCTGACATTTCCTACGATCTGATAACCATGATTCATTGCTGGCGGGAAGCCACTTGCCAAAGTGTGGGACAGGAAAAAACTCTCTGGAGTCTGTATTGAGGGATTGTACAATGTTCTCCATATATTTGTTTCGTTTGTTTGTAGTTTACCGCATCGCTCAGTTATATTCCAGCTATAAATTATATACCGGTCTTTATATAATCGAATATGGACCAGACAATCCAGTGGTTGCCATCACGAGCCTCGATCGACGCTTTTGGAATATGATGGCACATGTCAAACAAATCAGCGAACCTCTTACGACAAGTTGGGTTGAATGGGTTTAGACCAATTCTAACCCGGATTCTTGTACAAGCAAGTTTTTCCATACAAGCAACGGCGTATTCGCGGTTGTATTTACGACAAGCATAACCGAGACTGGTGTGAGTGAGTGGAATTTGCATCCGCAACATAACATTGTTGAAACAACATAGCGAAAGCGACAATACCTTTTCAATATCATAAGAAATCACTGCTAAAATTAGGGTCAACTGTACGATTACGACTTTATGTCCTTAGGAACCATTGTAAGGTAATGGTGATTCCAACTGAAACTGGTTTGGTCACGGGTTATTCACTTTGTTGTTTAACGCCACGCGCAGCAATATTCCAGCTAAATGGCGGCGGTCTGTAAATAATAATTGTCTGGACCAGACAATCCAATGATCAACATCATAAACATCGATCTACGCAATGTGTCAGTCAAGTCAGCGAGCCTGACCACCCGATCCCGCTAGTCGCCTCTTACGACAAGCATGGGTTGATGAACACAAAACAAGCATCATACGCGATCCTCAAGAAGCGGACTCATCTGTTGTAAATGCCCTACCATGGGAACTATAAACCATATTACATGTGTCTGTGTACTTATTAAGTTGTGTTGTTGAGGGATATTTCTTGAACAAATACGGGGCGGTGGGGTAGCCTAGTGGTTAAAGCGTTCTCTCGTCACGCCGAAGACTAGGGTTCGATTCCCCCTTGCGCAGTGTCAATAGGAAAGTGGAAAGTGTCAATAGGAAAAATCTGACAAATATTGCTGAAATGAAAGAAGGGGTGGTCCGATCTTGGGACAGCATGGACCACGACTTTCTAACTTCTTTGATCAGTAGTATGCCCCGCCGCATTGAAGCCTACATTGCTGCCCATGGTGACTTGACAAAATAGTAACTGTTCATCTGTCTTTGAATCTGGAGTGATGTTCTGCTAATATTCACATTTAATACGTGAGTAATGAGTGAAAAATTTTTTTTACAATCTTAAATTCTAAATAATTTCTGGTTGTACTGTATGTATGAATGGCATATAGGGTAATGTAAGTAGTTATATTACTTGAAACTCTATTTTCATGTTTCTGTTGCAGGCTTACCGCCGGAGTTGTACGCCATATGGGAGTCGTATCCATGGAGATTTGGGGCAGCCTTCTGTATACTTCGTCAGTCTGTGATGGAGATGACGTCATATGCGTCGGTCCTGACAATCACAGCCTTCACCGTTGAGCGTTACTTGGCCATTTGTCGTCCACTTCAGGCACACCGTATGGCGGGTCTGTCCCGATGTCTCCGGACCATCGTCGCCATCTGGGTTGTCTCCATCCTCGTGGCCCTCCCCTTCTCCATCCACACCCGCGTGTTCCACGAGCTGCACCACCCCATCACGAAAGAACCTATCCCAGAATCCCTCATCTGCAACATCCGGATTGAGTGGCGGGGACGGATGACGTACATGTTCCAGATCTCCACCTTCCTGTTCTTCGTCACTCCCGTCGCCGTCATCATCTGCCTCTACATCCTCATCGGCATCGCGCTCAGAAAGTCACAGTTAGGACGAAGAACGTCGGAAGAGTCAAAATACGGCAGTGGCAAACTTAGACCTCCATCACAGCCCAAAAGAGTTGTAATTCGTATGTTAGGTAAGTAGCAAGTGTTTTCTTTGTGAGTGAGGAAATTAATTATTTTATCTATATAGCATCGTTTTGTTTTACGCGCTAAGAAAGCTCGAAGTGATGTAAAACCTAGACGTTCACCACTCCTTGACTATGGTTAAAGTGTGACTCGGTCCCTGGTGCGCCTAAGGGACATAATTCTGCATATTAAATCGACAGTGATGCATTAGCCGACTCAGTTACAGATATGACGAGTAAACGGGGCACATGCCGCTCAATTATTCATAGTTTTATACGCAAAATATTAATATATCATAATATTGCAAACAAATTATAGATCTCATTGGAAAGAGTCGTAAGAAGTCAAATTTCTACTGACTAAATATGTGAATCCTTTAGCTGTATGCCTGGTTCCTTTGATTGATCTACTTCGTTATTCCTGCCCTGCTGTGCGTGGTGAATGCTATGACCACGGCGACGCTATGTCCCAGTGTCCCCGCAGTGATGTCGCAGCCCATCCAACGTCTCTACTCCCGGTAATGACGTGGTTGTAAAGCCCGGAACGCCTTCACAGGGCAATTACAAACTGACAAATAACCCGTCAAGAAGGAATAAAGAAATAATTTGTTAAGGCAAGGGATCAGCGGAACATGAAAGCTAATACCAAGTGTAGCTGGTGACTTGTTAGTGGCGAAGTATCATTACAGTACTTCCCTCGTATCATACGCTTCTTGTCCCTCTTCTTTTCTTTATTGATGAAGTAAGCAGTTCATATAAATCAATATTTTTATGCAGTCTTGCATTTCAAAAGGCGGTTCGGTGAGGGTAGGCTAGTGGTTAAAGCGCTCACGCGTCACGCCGAAGACCCGAGTTCGATTCGCCACATGGGCACAATGTGTGCAACCCATGTCTGGTTTCCCCCGCGGCGATATTGCTGGAATATTGCTACAAGTGGTGTAAAACTAAACAGACTCACTCACTCACTTTCAAAAAGGACACAGAAACCATTAAAATAAACAAAAACAAACATAAAAAAAACAAAAAACAAAAAGAAAACAAAAACGAACAAACCCCCCAAAAACAAGACACAAACAAAACAAACCAACAACAACAACAACAAACAAACCATTAAAACAGCAACAATCACAGCATATTTATATTTCTATAATCTATTCTTTGCAACCTAGAAATTCACATCTTCTCGAACGCCTGTAATCATCACTCTTGGAGGGGCGGTGGGGTAGCCTAATGGTTAAAACGCTCCCTCGTCACGCCGAAGACCCAGGTTCGATTCCCCACATGTGTGAAGCCCATTTATGGTGTCCTCCGCCGTGATATTGCTGGAATATTGTTAAAAGCGGCGTAAAACCACCCCTCACTCTTGTGATACTGATTCATGAACACTTAAGCCAAGATTTTCTGAATGTGGAAAAGGTTTTGTCCTTGTATGTACACGTACTTTCGTCCATCTCGTCTTTCTTTGTGAGTCATGTTATTTTGTAATTAGTGACAAAAGGTTACCAAGCAGTACACAAACGCTTGTAAACTTCAACGTAACATTGGGATTTCCTTTCTGCACACGATATTGGTGAAAATTACCAGTGAGAGCTGATGAATAGTCATTCCATTAAAGTTAAAATAGCCCTGTAATGTTTACCTCGTTTCAGGATTAATAATCGTAACCTTTAAATGTCGTTTACACATGGATTAGATATTTATTTTATCTCATTAGAAATCTATCATCGCTTGTTTACTCACGGTGGACAAAAAGCGTAAATAGAAAGTGAAAATAGAAACGACAGGCCCGTTAAGGAATCTTACAACGTAACTCTTTGTGCAACATGTGCCAAGTCAAGATCATAACAGCTTCTCCCAGGAATAGCTCGAATAAACATCCAGGGAATTGGACATAAAACACAGTCATGACGGAAATGTGTGAAGCAAGGACTAAATACACGTGGGTGTGCTAATGGCCTTTTAAGATCCAAGAGAACGTTGCTGTGGAGGTCATGTTCGGTGATGATTACAACGTTGACGTTGATGACGTTCAGACAGAGCTTATGACACTCGTAAACACTTGAGGAAACTATTCCCATGCATAAAGTGGTTGGATAGAAGATGCTATGATGCTGCTTCTCATACGAAGTCTCATCAAGAACACTGTCTGGATGCAATTACAGATATATGATGTAGATGTTTATGGTCGATTCTGATGGATTGTTTACCATGAGCTTTGCTGCTTAGTCTGTAAAACTTTCCTGTGAGAAAGAAATCATTCTTTTTGCCATGCGCCCGTCATGTTAGTAGTTCGTTGGTTTATCATTGAACTGCCTTACTCAGGAATATACTCCAGCTTTATGGCGGCGGTCTGTAAATCGAGTCTTGACCTGACATTCCTGTGATCAACAGCATGAGCATCGATCTGCGCATTTGGGATACGATGACATGTGTCAACCAAGTCAGCGAGTCTGACCACCCGATCCCGTTATTCTCCTCCTACAACAAGGATTGGTTACTGAAGACCAATTCTAACCCGGATTTTCTCGGGTCTTGAAGATATTAAGATTTATTAAAATGTTCCAACGTTATTGTCAGAGTATAACATAACAATATAATACGTGTTTGTGTAGGGTGTCTGTATGTGCCTTTGTATGCTTGTGGTGGTGCACCTATTATGTAAATATGTGTGTATGTGTTTGTGTCTTGGAACGATACTGGTGATATGACCCCAAATTTGAGATTCGAAGCTGAAGCTAGTTGCATGCTTTTGAACGATCCATTGGGTAGGAGACGCTCACTTCATCATCAGCTAGAGCCATCACTATTTGATGCTAATTCATAAACACAGTGTATAGTCATACTATACTCATTGTATAATCGAATTCTTACAATGGACCAAACGAAATCGTACAATGGACAAAATGACTTCGACTATACAATGATATGACGGCAACAGCCAAGTTCTCTCAGCCAGTAATTAAAGGGTCATTTTTAATTTTGTACATCTGTATATCAAAACATTAAAATGAACGTGCCGGTTTTTGTTGATATCCAGTACATTTTGTTATCATTAAGGAAGCACATGTTATTCAAAATAAACTCAATAACCCGAGAAAGCTACAAAGACGTCATTTTCCTTATTCTTATCACTACCCACAATGGTTTCTGGAAGATAGTGTTATCAGGAGGTAATGGCTGCTGAAAATTGCATTTAAAACGAAGATAGACAAAACATCATTACGGTGTATAAAACCTCATTACCAGATATTTTAAGCAGTGTTGAACATTAAAAGCTTTTAATGAAGGACGTTGCTCCTCCGAAATTTAATTCAAGTCCTAAAGAGCGTACTTAGTAATTTAATTCGTGATCAGATGAAAAGTACTAAGACAACTCTATGACGTAAACCAATGAGAGTCTAAATCTGGAGATCTTCATGTCAGGAGTAGAGGGTTATTAAGAACAGGCACCCTGTTGGGATTCGGGGAAGGAGAGCCTCCAGTATCTCATGTTGACTCAAGAAGACCAGAGTCTGTAACTTAGCGTGAATAGAGCTCTGTCTAGATATACCAGTGACTGACTGAATGAATGAAATCTATTCTTGAGTTTGAGTTGAGAAAGGAGGGAATGAATGGTTACAGATGTAAGAATGACTAAATCCAACAACTGGCTCCGCACCTACACCCCTACATTCTAGAGGTGATTTGGTATTATACGGGATCACAACGATGTAGCCTCAGTTGTGTTTCAATGGCTTAAACCATCCTCTGATCGTGGTTTTTATTTGCCCCTGTGGGATTCCTGGTCCATTACCTGTATCAATCCAAGAGGGTTCCACTAGTGGGAATCATGTAACATATGATTTCATGTCACATTAAGCTGCTCAGTGATTACAACTGAAATAATATCCAAAAAACTATTTAACAATAGCCCTCTTAACATGTAGAATCTAACGAAAAAAGCCTACCCTTTCAGAGATTGAAAAGTTGATCGATAATTTCCCACAGGAATCTTCAGAATGGAATGAAAAAGCCTGACAGAAGCACACATTGCAATGCAATTGATTGGCAGATAAATATTACTGATAGGTTAATACAATGCACCAACGATTGGAAAGTAAACTCATTATCCTTGTTTCAGTTGCTGTAACCGTGGCCTTTATTCTGTGCTGGGCGCCTTTCCACTCACAGAGGTTGATGGTTTTGTACGTCTCCATGTGGACTCCATTGTTGATGAAAGTGCAGAGTACTCTCTTTTACATCTCAGGTAGGTAGGCCACATCAAAGAAAAACAATAATGTACATGATGTATTCCGATTCGCCTTTCCATCTACCTGATCTAAATAACAATGGCTCGTCACTCTCCTTATCCACTGCGGAACATTTTACCTGAATGACGATGACGAGAAAACTGAAGTTTGAAAATCAAAATCAGTTCCTAAAACTATCGGCAGATCACTAGGATCACTGGATCGTCAGGTCGATCACTGGTTTGTCTGGTCAGAACTCGACGTTTCTAGGCCGTTGTTGTATGCCATTGTTCCGATCCGCAAAGCGCTCGTAGTGCTAGGACATTCGTATATCTATGCTAACCTTGGGAGTTACGACAGGTTGTATCGTTGCTTTGTGGATCGGGATCCAGCTGTACTACTGTGTGGCACTAAGCATCAAACAAACTATACTATGCAACGTGTGTGAGTAGCAAATAGTACAGGTGGAGCAGGACAAGGCTATCCGTTTGGCGAACACCGCGTAGTGTGTTCAGTGAACCATTCCTATAAACTTTCACCAGTGCTTTACGGGTGATGCCGTTACGACCATTTGATGTTCACTATGTTTAAACTGTGTTTTCACATATGTCCTGAGAAAACCCAAGTTGTGCAAACAAATATATCTTTCACATATATTTAAACCTTGTTTTGAGGCAGATATTGAAACCATATCCAAGTAAAGGTGCATCATGGCCACCCTCCTCAGTCCGTGAGGCTACCTTGTAAGGTTGATTAACCTATACGAATACTTTCCTTCTTACTATTTGTCTTTTACTGGCTTTTATGTTATTTGATAAAAACATACCCTTTGATGTGACGTTAATATAGTTTTATGAAATATCGCGTGTATGAAGGTTAACAGCTGAGGGGCATGCAGCGCACATCTTTAATAAAAAACTGGCACCATCTGGCACTATTTGAACCGCATAATATTAAACTTAAAATATTCTTTTATGATTGTATGATTTTTTATGGAAATGGCTTGTCTGTTTTATTATTTAATTAATATTAAGTCGAAAATATTCACTGTGCATTATGTATGAGATATTATGATTCAACTGCGAACACGATACTTAGTATCCGATGACCTTCAATATGAGAATACTACATCTATTTGATAAAAATTAAATTTCAGAGTGTCAAATACTCAGTAAATCGGATAAATATTAATTGTTCGTCTCTTTCTTTATCGTGTTCCTGATTTGTTGCAGGTGTCCTGTACTTCGTGAGCTGCACCGTTAACCCAATCCTGTACAACGTCATCTCACGCCGATACAGATGTGCATTCAAGGAGACAATCTGCTTCTGCTATTACAAACGTGGGACATTCTCCTACACCAGCAGTGTCCTGAGAGGCAACTCAGAGAGACCACTGAAACAACCAACGGTTATTAAAAGGGATTCTAACTCAACATTCCACAACAGGAACTCGCTGTCACATCCAGTGGTCAACGGGAACGTTCCCGAAATCCTTAAAACCAAGTTGCTTGATGATTCGTTTGATAGTAAAGCTAGTCGCTTGTCAAGAATCAATGGCGTGAACGATGTAAATACTTGCAAGACCTGTGGCGATCGCCAAAATGGTTATATGACATCGGAAGGGACAGCGCTGTTGACAAAGGGATTTTGTGCTCTGCAACAGTCTCCATTAAATGATGTTTTAAAAGGTAACGGATCAGTTGTCTAGCAGGATTCTGACCTCTTGTATCAACTGTCCGTCTTTTGAAAGAGATATATAGTGAGACATGAGAGTTTCAACATTCCAAATAATCCGAAGGATCCAACACAAAAGGTTTTCGGTTGTTGACCTTTGTTGAATGTGTCCTTGACATATCCACCAGCCTGATTGACCTAATCGATTCTGAAATGTCTCTTCGCTGGTTTTCTCATTTAAAAGTGGCTGTTTTTTTGTGATAACTGACTGGAATTGGGAATTCATTGTCACGTAGATTGCATCACGTAAGTAGAATGTGCTGGTATGGTACTGATTCATGGTGATGCTGTGACAACCATTAAGCCATTTCCCCCTTGTCCAGCTGTTAAGTGTGGACGCCGTGCTCGAAGAGGATCTACGCTTCCCACTACCACACTGTGTGAACCTGGGATTCTGCTCCTGGAATATTTTTACGTGGGGAATGACCTCGATCCGACGAAAAATCTTCATGACTTAGATAAAAAAAACTAGACAAGCCTCATAACGGGATATCGAGTCCCGAGGACATAAAGCAAAGAAAAACAACTTCGTATTATTGAAATACATGTACCCTACCTTTGTCCTTCGTGGATTCTCAGGTGATTTTAACCATTACCCCTAATAATTTTAAGCCCATCTTCTGTCAGAAATAGCAATTTTAAACATTATTCCTTTTGACATATAGAGTTGAGATTATCAACTGACTTCTTCCAATGCAATGTTAGTACTTCATCTTTATCATTGATTCTACAGCTTCTTGAATGCCACTCTAATATATCACCCCTATGATGTGTGCTGTATTTACTTCTGGCTGTCGTGCAAGGCTGTTTTACTTTAAACTGGGAGAACCAAATTAAAAGGCATGTATTCATGTTCAAAATCAGTGTGGGAAAGTTTATCTTCGTCAAACCGTTTTCTCCATATCCTGCTCAAATCAAGACATTATCACAGTAAAAATGAAGAATATTTTGCATTGAAATATTATACAACGTTACAACCATGGCCCCAACTGGAACTAGAATTGGCCCTAGCTTTGCTGGGTAGATGTAACTTAAAGGGTCGTGGGTAGAGGGTCAGCGACGTGATTCAGTGCATATGAGTTCATCACTCACTGGGTGTGTCATCCAGATTGAATATTTACAGATTTTCATCATGTAGTAACGGGCGAAGAGTTGAAAGTAGCAGCCCCAAAATGTAACCATGGGCTGTGTAAATAACCTTATACTTGTGCTTTGTTGATTTGTTTGACATATTGTACAGTTTATTCCAAGGTAAAATATTGTTCAACTGATCACTGTTTCACTTCTATTTCATCTTCCCTGTAACAATATTCAAAACAGCATTGGAACATTACAGTAATACTCATTCTCAACAATTTATAGTAATATTCATATTAGGAGCAGTAGGGTAGCCCAGTGGTTAAAGCGTTCGCTCATCACGTCGAAGACCCGAGTTCGATTTGCCATATTTCTACAAAGTGTGATGCCCATTGCTGATGTATCCCGCAGTGATATTGCTCTAAAATTTTTAAAAGCAGTGTAAAATCGTACTTACACACAAGCAATATTTACGTATATCATTTTCTCAAATACAATTAGGAATCATGAACTATAAATATTAGTACTAAGAATAATGACACGTGTTGACAAATAGACCGTATACATCTCCACAAAACGTGTACATATGTTACAACTGGCATATGCGGCACACATAAATATGGCGTCATTCGTGATTCTGACACGGTCAAGGAAGGTTGCTTTCTCTCTGTGGACCATCGATTCTGTCACTCTTATTGAGGTTCGTGCACGAGTCTTATTGAGGTTCACGAAACAATGCATCGATTTGCAACTCCTCATCGCGATACATACGATTCGTTACATTAAAAGTTACTCTGCGCACATTCATTCTGGTATTGAGGAATGAAAATAAGTATTTAATGTTAGAATTTCAGAATGACATCATAATATGAAGAGGTTATCACACGTTAGATACACGTAGTCTTCACCCGAAAAATATGTGCAACATGTACAAGTCAAAATATAAGGAGTTGCATCGCCAATCATTTTTGTGACTTATACATGAGATCTAGAAATGTGTTGTCCACATGCTTACCACGAAACCTTCGGAAAGCTTCACTGAGACCCTGAATGTTGAAGAATCGGATGATGGCATATATCTGTAATGGCCAACGGTAATACAACACACATGCTGCAACATATTCCCTGTATATAATCTGTGGGGTCAGTGAGTGCCCTAGAACCTCTGGTCAGGTTACCTAGTCTTAGTGCTAAGAGTTAAGCTACCTATTACGGGCTATCTTCATCCATAATAGGTCTGGTCAGGGGGTAAATCACACTGACAGTAGGGAAATCCTCCCATTAGCACTAACGATGCTACTGAAGGACGCTAACTGTGCTTCTATATAGGGACTGATGTTGTTGGCCAGGGAACGCCGACCAAAGGACAGCAAAAGTAATTATCATGAGCGATTTACTACCGAATCGGAATCTATACAAAACCAATTTCGGGTGACACAAATAAATTATTGTCTAGGCTCTGGTTTATTTACATTTCTGTGCTGTTTCGCAACACTTTTTGATCTACTGAGTACACAGACCAGACTAAGCCTGTTTCCAAGTTGGAAAAAAGTATTTATAACCAATATTGTACTACTTATTTCTTATTTAATACCAAAAAAAGATGTATATGGCGGCATATGCTGGAAGAATGTTTTCGGATATTCATCGTTCAGAAATGTATCTTGAAATGCAGCTTTGTTCTATTTCATAGATGAGCAACTCACATATATTTTGACAAGGGTCATTGTCAAGTGACGTATTGGAAATTTGTTTTTTGTAGGAAAAGGTAGCATATGTTTTTTGCTTTCTTAGACTTTAACATTATTAATCATTTCTATTTGAAGCAAAATATGCAATCATTCTTTTTGTATGTAATTGTCTGTCCAACACAGAATATATCATGGACAAACCATCCATGCACACTATTGAGATACTTCAAGATGAAAAGTTTTTAAATCATATCAAGTGCGTTTTATAAGTTAAATTGGAATGGGATGTTGCGATCGTTCACCCAGACACTAATGTTTCATTTCAATCAAGACGTGATTTGCAATCCTTCAAATAACCTTCACAACGTGTGTATTTGGCTTGTTGGGTTAGACCATGATGAACGATACTAGGAAACTGACAGTAAGTTAATTTGATGGGATGATTTGTTAGGTGAAGGGACCTCCATTCATGGGTGATAACAACACTATTTGTCAAGAATGGTTAACGAGAGAGGAATGGCCGGTTATATTGCTAAGTGAGAAGGATCAGATCTACCGGTTCAAGGGGCTGAAAGGCGTCTTATAATAGCCTCTTGCATGAATTGAACGGAGGCGTGATTGTAGGAAAATATATGTGTAAATAATATGAACAAAATGTGAGTTATTGAGACAGTGGAATAAAAGTTAGCAACTTTTATCTAAGTCACTGAAACATTTGAGAATATTTGATTCAAAATCATTTTTTTGTGTGAAAAGTTTTAAGCAAAATAGAGAATAATTATACAGCCGCGAAACTTCCTTGGTAAGTAATGTGAAATAACGTCCAATTAAAAAAATGTAATAAGGATACACGTAAACAAGGACACGTTAGATGTATAACAATATGTTAGTGAGCTGGTTTAGTTTTACGCTGCACTCAACAATATCCCACCTACATGGCGGCGGTCTGTAAATAATCGAGTCTGGACCAGATAATCCAGTGATCAACAGCATGAGCATCGATCTGCACAATTGGGATACGATGACATGTGTCATAGAGCCTGACCACCCGATCCCGTTAGTCGCCTCTTACAACAAGCATGGGTTACTGAAGACCAATTCTAAGCCAGATCTTCACGGGTTATCACAATATGTATTCAACAGACCGCCTTATGTAACGTCACAAACAACGGTATGAGCGCATGTAATCTACTGCTGAATGTTTCATCGGGCAACCTGTTGAGTTGAGACCCATTTAAAGGACCGTCCTTTGGGCATCCTCATCGTTGAGTTAATGGAACGTCTCAATACGTCATGCCACTATTCACAACCGCCGAGTGTCATCAAGCTAATGGAATAACACGAACGCGAGGTGGCCGTGTGCTTCCATTGCCACAGGAACATGAGGGCATCATTTTTGTATGTGTTTCACGTAAGCACCAAATTCTGAACATGGGTCGGTCGGTCGGGGACACACACACACACACACACACACACACACACCCTAAAAAACCCCCATCAAAATAAACAAAAAAAACCTTAATAAATACATAAATTATCTGAATAATGTTCTTGATTCTCATTTATTGTAATTCCTATTACAATTTCTCGCGTTCATTGGACCTGTGGCAGCGAGTGATTAAAACCTAAACGTTATATATAATAAGGCGGTTTGAGGTTCGAGTCGGCGGTGTTGGGATGAAAAAAATGTTTTTGTGGGGGTCGGCAATATAATTAGAAGGGTCGGCCGGGCGATAAGAAACACTAAAAATGCTGCCCTTATTTTGTCCACGCGTGACAACGGATCCACAAAGGGTGCTGGATCCGTGTCACCCATCTCGGAAACAGGCACCAAACTACCGCGACCACATCCAAGGGAACGGGTAATTAACCCAAACACATCATACTTAAACTTCCGATTACGTGCAGAGCAATTATTGAAGGGTGAATGTTAGACATTGGCTACTCTATTTTACTCAAATAAACTATCTAAATTATACTATCAAGAACGCCTTTGTATTCCCATCATTACAGGACAAAGTAAACACTATTACGTTGTTTGCACAAATACATGTTTAATATTAACAAATAAAGGAAAACCGGAGAGAATGATTTGATAACATTTGGTTTCACGGTACACAAACCATCTACAGATTTGAAAATAGAAACAAATCACAATTAAATACACAATAAATAAATGAAGAGCACAAAGCAAGTGACATTAAAGAGACGGTAAATAGACCATTGACAAGTTGATATTTTTGATATACCCATTGCAAGTTTTAATCTGTTTAAGCAATCCCAGAATATACAGAAAATAAGCGTTCGTAACGCAACATGTATGGGCTGTCCCAGTTCACATATTGGTATATAACACGTTCTTGGGGGAAAAAGGACAAAGTAAAAGAAAACGAGATTGTCAGTCACACATCTACACAATTTAAGGCGGGGCGGTGGGGTAGCCTAATGGTTATATCGTCCGCTCGTCACGCCGAAGACCCGGTTCGAATCCCCGCATGGGTACAATGTGTGAAGACCATTTCTGGTGTCCCAAGCCGTGATATTACTGAAATAGTGCTAAAAGCGGCGTAAAACCATACTCACTCACTTGCTCATCACTCGTGGATATTGATTCATCAACATATGGCATGGTGATTTCGTACAATCGACTTTGGTTGTAGCAATTCCTGTATCACCAAAGCACAAGTAATATAACTAACGTATGTTGATTTGTTTTTTAACATTTTAATGTCTTACTGTTGAGCAAGAACGTAGGTGTTGGCTGATGTAGACAGACATATTTATTTCGATATAAGTCCTCCAGGCCAAAATACCCTTTGGTGTCTAAAGGGAACAACACCTTATTGTAGATATATATCGAATGTTAACTGCTAACTTGTCTAGACATATTAACTTCAAAAGAAATATGAGTGTGTTAAATGACATTGTATAGATAGCTCATCAACAGTAAGTAGACTATTAACATATCTCTGTAATTAAGACAAGTGTTATTTGTTCTATTCAGTCCTCTTCAACTTGGATATTTGGCCAGTGGAAAATGGGGAGAAAGTAGCTTTCTCGCGAGTCATTGGTTTCTTTTGTTGTGTAATTTTTGAGTAACGTTATACAGGACTATACATACTCAGATTTGGGCAAGAAAATCCAGTGATGGACATCAATTAACTCAACAGTATAACATAACATCACCGGATCTGACGAACTGATCCAGTTAAAACAGGGTAGAGTGAGTGATGTATTGTAACGGGTTGATTTCCAAGCTGGAGGAGCCGTGTGTACTTCGGGTAGCCTAGTGGTTAAAGCGTTCGCTCGCCACGCCGAAGACCCTGGTTCGATTCCCTACATGGGTGGACAATTTGTGAAGACCATTTCTGGTATCCCCAGAAAAGCTAAAAGGGGCGTAAATCCATACTCACTAACTCACCAACTCACTATTTTCATGGTTGTACATGTTTAAGACCTCTTTGCATGACATTTTGTTTATGACGGAAGCCATCGCTGGGC